GAGCAGAGGTCACAGCTGGGACTTTGGATGAGACCAAAATGTGGGTTGTGTTGGACTTTATCCCATGAGAAGATAGAAGCTGGGGTGGGGTCCTCAAATTGGGTAAAAATCTCTGACTGGGGGAAACTCTCTTGATTTTTCAATTTTTTTTTCCAATTTTTATTTTTAAGTCAGTCATGGGGCTTGAACTCAGGGCCTGGGTGCTGCCCTTGAGCTCTGATTTGCTCAAGAGTAATGCTCTACCATTTGAGCCACAGCTCTACTTTTAGCTTTTTGTGGTTCATTGGGGATAAGAGTCTCACGGACTTCCCTGCCTGGGCTGGTTTCGAGCCACAATCCTCAGATCTCAGCCTCCTGAGTAGGTAGGAAGACAGGCATGAGCTACCAGTGTGGAAAAGGAGAGGATGGGAGAGACCATTGGGAAGACAAGCTAGGGCAGGGCCATGGGGATGGTGCCATCTGCCCAGGCCATGGACAGCTTTGCCCTGGCTGCGGTGGGGGAAATGTCTGCCTGTGTCTGCTCTCTCAGGTCCCCAGTCCTCAGGGAGGTGAAGGCCTGCTTGTCTAGTGGAGCCTGGCTCACAGGTTTTCTGCTGGCTGGGCCAAGCTGTCAGCTCCCTCCTATTGGGAGATAAAGAGGAGAGGAAAGTAGTGCGGCCCACATTGGCATCACCCCAGGGCGAGGTTCGCAGAGGGCACTGCAGCCTCTCCTTGCTCAGGGAACGGCAAAGAGCCATCTGTAGCCACTGCCGCCACCTCCAGTGTAGAGAGCAGAGGACATGCAAGGACCCCCAGCTCTGCAAGGAGTGTGAAGGTGCGGGCGATCGGAAGGTTCTAGTTTCCAGATCTTTCCTTCCCGCCTGTCTTCCCTTGACAGAGACAGTGCCAGCCCTCCCCTCTCCCCTTTGTGGCTTTTTCTTACATGTCAAAAGAAGAGGGTGTCTCTCATTTACCTAGAATTTCACTACCTAGCTAGTCCCAAGGTGTTAATGCTCCTAAGGTCATAGAAAATGATAATAAGAAATACTGGTGTTAGGGGAAGCATGGTGTGTGTGTGTGTGTGTGTGTGTGTGTGTGTGCGTGCACGCACGCGTGTGCACACACATATGCACCAGTCTTGGGGCTTGAACTCAGGGCCTGGGCACTGTCCCTGAGCTTTTGTGCTGGTACTCTACCCCTTTGGGCCACAGGCCCCTTGACTGGACCCAAAAAACAAACAAACAAAAACCAAAGATTATCAGTGTATATTCTAGTTGTAAACAAGTGTCAGATAATCCAATATTGGGCAAAATTAGATTTCTTTTTTTTGGGGGGGGTTCCAATTGTGAGGCCTGAACTCTGGGCCTGGGTGCTGTCCCTCAGCTCTTCAGCTCAAGGCTAGAACTCTACCACTTGAGCCACAGTGCCACTTCTGGCTTTTTTTCTTTTTTGCTTATGTGGTGCTGAGGAATTGAACCCAGGGCCTCAGGCATGCAAGGCAAGCACTCTACCACCGAGCGACCTTCCCAGCCCCGTCCTTTGGAATTTTTTTAAATGGTTAAACATTTTTCATAGCTCGAATTCTATCTGTTGGAGATACCTCTTTGGAAAAATGTGGCTTCTTGGCAAAGATAAGTGCAGTAAACTCTAACTTTGTTCTTTCTATACTCCTGTCCTCTACCCTTTGGTCAAGCACCAGCTGCCGTTTGCCAGTCTAATCAATGCCATCATGGCCTTTTACCCAGAAAATATTTCAGTGGTAATTGTACAGGCTCGGAAGCATTCTTATGAATATGTATGAATAAGTGTGAATAAGATATGCATAATATAAATAAGTAGGTCACACATGAGGACCCCTGCTTTGACTCCAGTTCTTTCATTTCTGTGTGGTCTTTTGCCTCTTGCTACCTCTTCTATCGTGGCTGGTAGGGCTATGATGACTGAACTTCTCTGCCAGGTATTTCACAGTGACAGTCCTTTTCTAAGCTGTGGTACACATACAGTCAGCTCTGTAAACTACTAAATCCTAGTGTCAACTTTGTCTGCATCATTAGTACTCTAAGAAAAAAGCAAATTGCTTTTGTAAAGTGAATATATATTCTTCATTGCTTAATTTTTTTCTAGGTAAATGTAAGGACTTAAAATTCTTTGACGGGCTGGGAAGGTGGCTCAGTGGTAGAGCACTTGCCTTGCAAGCATGAGGCCCTGGGTTCGATTCCTCAGCACCACATAAGCAAAAAGAAAAAAGCCGGAAGTGGTGCTGTGGCTCAAGTGGTAGAGTGCTAGCCTTGAGCTGAAGAGCTAAGGGACAGCGCCCAGGCCTAGAGTTCAGGCCCCACTACTGGACCCAAAATAAATAAACAAACAAATAAATAATATTCTTTGAAAGCTTATCACTGAAAAGTACCAACTGCTTTTATTTTGGTGAACAGTTTTCCACGTTGCTTGATATATGCAAATAGAGATCTATGTGTGCACTTTTTTTAAGTCAGTGAGCTGTAAACCCTCTGTACATCACCTTTATAATAACAATACAATTTTTTAAAGTTAATGATGCTTCCTATTTTCGTACATAATTTTTTTCTTTTTGGCTCAATAGAGATAGATTTATCACATTAATGTTAAATGCTTGCATAGCAATTCACTTTTTCATATATTCTAATTTACTTAATATGACTCCTGTGGTGGTTTTAGATAATTGTCAGTTTTGGGTTTTTATAAGCAATGTTGTATAAACATTCTGAGTACTTGAAATAACTCTGTGTAATTACTCCTTAGATTAATTACTAGAAGTAAAATTTCCAAAAATGCTTTCAAAATAGTATAGACAAGTAAAGCTTGCAGTAAAGGTAGACTGAGGGGCTAGTGAATCTGGGTGATGTTGAATTTGGGGAAGGGAGGATTAAAAAATTTACTTTTCTGCAGGGAGCCTGTGGCTCACGCCTGTAATCCTAGCTATTCAAGAGGCTAAGATCTGAGCATCACCACTCAAAGCCAGCCTGAGCAGGAAAGTCCATGAGACTCTTATCTCCAATTCACTACCACAAAACCAGAATTGGCGCTGTGGCTCAAGTGGTAGAGCACTCGCCTTGAGGTGAAGAGTTGAGGAACAGCACCCAGGCTAGAGTTCAAGGCCCAGAGTTCAAACCCCACTACCAACCACCCCCCCTAAAAAAATAATTTTTTCCCTCACCTCCTCCTTACTGATTAAATTTTACTAACTTGATATCAAATAAATTTGTAAACCCTGAATGTTAACTGACAACTTGATGAAGGGCCTGAAAGAAATAGATAACAAGGTGGTAGCCTGGCATTTGAAATATACATGAATCCACAGTGATTAATCCATTATCAGGTAATCAGTGAATCTTCTAGAAAGTGAGAGAAGCAGACCATATTTGTACTTCCTATCCCAGCTCACTTACTTGCTAACTGTGTTCTCAATACTTGGTACTCATGGTTTAGAATTGTTTCCTGTTAAGCCTAGAAACTCAGGATAGCTACTTTGTGTAAAAGTGTGAAAAATACTTCTAAGTTCCCATTCTTTCATTTGCTAGCTTATCTGTTTCCAGTCTTATTTGAGAATGACAAGGGGAAATAAACCTATTTATAAGCCAAGTGCAGTAGTACATGCCTATAAACCCACATGCTGTTATCCCAGCTACTGAGACTGTTGCAAAGTTTATGATACAGTCTCTTGTACCTGCTGTCTTGTCAGATGGCAAATGTATGTAAGCCATAGAACCAGTAATTAAATGATATATTAATTGCACTGTTCTGTAAAGTTACTTTTAGTAGCAAAATTTCTTAGATTTGAGTTTAAAAATCATATATTTTCAGTATCCCAATACTGAGTATATATGAAAGGTGGATTTTTTGTGTGTGTGTTTTTTTTTTTTTTTTTAATCTGTCATAAGAGCTTGAACTCAGGGCCTAAGTGCTGTTCCTAAGCTTTCATGTTCAAGGCTAGAGCTCTGTTACTTTGAGGCACAGCTCCACTTCCTGTTTTCTGGTGGTTAATGGGAGATAAGAGTCCCACAGACTTTCCTGCCCAGGCTGGCTTTGAACCATGGTCCTCAGATCTCAGCCTCTTGAGCAGCTAGGATTACAGGCACCTGGCCGAAGGTATTTTATGCTAAGAAAGCTGTTTTTGTTTTTGCTTTGGGTCTGGTTGTGGGGCCTGAACTCTGGGCCTGGGCACTGTCCCTCAGCTCTTCAGCTCAAGGCAAGTGCTCTACCACTCGAGCCACTGTGCCACTTCTGACCTTTTTTTTTCTGCTTATGTGGTGCTGAGGAAGCGAACACAGGGCCTCATGTATGCAAGGCAATCGCTCAACCGCTGAGCCACCTTCCCAGCCCAAGAAAACTGTTGAATAACAGTAGGTCCATTTGTTTTTACAAACAAAAGAAATTTCTGTTGTTATCATTTCTTATTTGTGATTATTAGACAGGTAAACTATCTGTGCCATATCTTTATTTTTTGTTGTTGTTGTTGGTTGTGGGGCTTCAACTCTGGGCCTGGGCTCTGTTCCTGAGCTCTTTAGCTCAAGGATAGCCCTCTACCACTTGAGCCACAGCACCACTTCTCATTTTCTGGTGGTTTATTGGAGATAAGAGTCTCACTGAGTTTCCTGCCCCAGCTTGCTTTGAACGGTGACACTCATGTTTCAGCCTCCTCCTGAGTAGCTAGGATTATAGGCATGAGCCATGAGCCAGGGTGTCTGGCATATGTTTACTTCTTAATGTTATGGAATGAGTCTTTAAAAAATATATTTTTAATAGAAAGAGAAGTAACTTATTACTGTTTGTGTAATGCCTGGTTCCCCTTCCTTTTAGTGTTCTAATATCATTCTATAATGCTGAAGATGAGTCAAACATTCTCTTACCCAAGCTGCCCACATTACCAAAAAAGTATCAGAGTTGTATTTCTTTGGACTTAATCTTGCAGGTTAATCTGCTTTAAATATTGGTACATACTTCTCTCATGAGTATCATTTTACCTTTGTCTCTCTTTTCTCTCGTTATAGCAACACCTCAAAAATATTTAGGTAAGATGTACTTTTTTGTTGTTTTCAAATAAAATAATGGTTTTTTTTTAGTTGAAAGAACATGGTTGAAAGATGACTCAATTTATTTTTATATTGTAGTGAGGAGAATTCTGATGAAATTATTAAACGCTTGGGAGATGTCAGGTAAATCTAATTTAAATAAGTCTGATTTCTTTAAGTCACTTTTCATATTGGAGGAACATTTCCAAATTTTCAGGAGCAAATCTTTTGTTATGTTATCTCATTGTAGACACTCCATGTCTTCAAATAATAGATGTCACCGTCTTGCTGTTTTTACTGTGTGCTCATTCTTTGTTTCATGTGTTAGCAGTAATGCAGTATACTTGTTTTTAATAAGTAAAAGGGGATAGTACTAGAATTTTTAAAATTTCAATTTTAATTATCCAAGTTCTTCATTGTGTCATATCCATAATAAAACTGTTTTGTTATTGGCTGTATGTGAATACAATTATTAGTATGTTATGTTACTATAAATGCTTAATGTTAGCTATAAGAAATATATATTGTTCTTCGGAAACAAAAGAAATGGCCTGCTGTGATTGAATATTGAGAGTTGCTGTGTTTGCTTAGTGTATCGGTTTTCCCCAAAGAGGAATTTTAGCTCTCAGATTAGATGAAAGCAGTAACAATTTATATTTTGGCTAAAAAAACCACGGTCATCTAAAAGAGAGAAGAGGAACCAGCAGGAGGGAGAAAGGAAAAAGAGATGGTGAGGGAAGGTGAATATATATATGTATGACAATACCATCATGAAGCCCTCCAGAAACTTAGGAAGGGATAGATAGGGAGGAAGGATAGTTAAGAAAGAGTAATATAGATTAGGAGTAAATTTGATCAAAGTATATTATATTCATGTTGTAAATATCACAGTGTAACACTTTTGTACTATAAGTTCATGCTAATTATATTTTAAAGATAGTGTAGAAATAAAATCAACAAATATAAAAAACACCCACAATCATCTGTGTTGTTCACTGGTTTTCTGCTTGTTACATTTTTTTATTAGATTAAATATTCTTGTCCTTGGAGGAAGCTCTGGATTTATTCAGCTTTATGCTTATGGGATGTTCAAAATTGCTCGAGTCACAGGGGTGAGTTTTTCTTTTAGGTTTCCTGTATTATTTCTCTTAAAATATAGTGGCTAGTTTACTTATGGAATAAGAATAACATAGTAAGTTTTATTTTTATTTTTTCAGTTTCAATTTGTTTTTAAATAATTAGAGGATTTTTTAAGCTAAAATAATGATATTACTATAGAGATGAGAAACTTTTGGTGGAATTACTCATGCTTTTTCCTTTAATGAAAAGATTGATCTGATCCACTTGATTGTGATTTAACTGGAGCCTAATGAAAGCTATCGGAAGCCACTCTTTGTTGAGTACTGAGTCTCCTAATACTGCTAAATCAGTCTTCTCCAGAGCCTTTTTCATCTTGCTCTCACAATTCCCCAAGGTGTAGAAAATGTCATAGCCTTCAGGGAATTTGTTTGTTCATCAACCTTTGATGTGCAACTGTTGATGGGATTGGGATCAGAAGTTTTAATGTTTATAGGTCTTTGTGACTAGGAGGAGCCCTTTACCTGCTTTACCTACCTTTACCTGCTACATGAGTATCGCTGAAACCAGAAGTGTGTGTCACAGCTTTCTAAAGTTGTGTATAAATTGTTGCTTCCAGTATTACAAAGTGCACCCTACCAGTGATACCACATGTATGAGGGTGTGTGATTATTTTGCAGATTGCTGGCACTTGTCTTGCATTGTGTCTATCAAGTGATTTGAAATCATTATCAGTGGTCACAGAGGTTTCCACTGGTGATGATTCAAAGGTTTCATACTTTCAGCTATGTACTGGAATTTCATAATTGTAGAGATTAAGAATATGTTTTAGTTTTTCTGTTGTTTTTTAGGGGTGGTTGGTGCTGAGAGTTGACAGGACGTTCTAGCATGCTGTCTACCACTGAGCTGGGTCCCCACCTCTGTGGGTTTGTATCTATATCTCACTGTATTCTAATGGGCAGCAAAATAAAACATCTACGTGGAGTTTCTAAATTGTACATATTGAATGCTGTTGTAGTACTATTATTTTCCACATAAAAACAATGTTTTGATGATCATGGCCCTACAAATTGGTTCCTATAACAGAATTACTTGGTTTTGAGCATTTTCTTGGGACTCAGTTATTAGTAATAATAAGGGCTGATATTCATCATTTATTATATGCCAAGCCCTTAGTGCCTTAAACACAACAACATATGGATAGGAACTGTTATTATACCTGAAGAAAGTACAGGGCACATACAAAAGCTCATAATTGGAAAGTGATACTAGGCAGTCTGCATTCAGGTTCTGTGCCTTTTTTCTCCTTCTAATGAGAGGAAGGCTTGCTCTGTAATCCAGACTGGCCTAGAACTTTAGGTTCTCCTGCTTTAGCCTCCCAAGTGTTGGGATTACAGGTGTGCACCATTAGGCTCTAAACATGCTTTTTGTGTAAAACATTTAAGTATTGGTGAGGGCTCTTTTATTGTGTGTATCATACATAATAAGATTAGGAAACTGTTTGGGCTCCTGTTATTTGGATTGTACCTTTGCTTTGCCAAGAAAACTTCCCCAGTGTTTCCTCTGAAAATCCTATATGTTTATCCTAAGAATGTGTAAATTTTCAAACAAAGTAGAACAAAAGGATAGAAGATGCGAGGACTGCTTAGTGTCTTCAATAGCATGCTGTTCAGTGTTCCAGAGCACCCTAGACATAGAATTCACAACAATGGTAGTACACATTTGTGTCTTAAGGCTGAGCAACTGTGATCAGCAGGCTGTATTTGTGCTATAATAGAGCAGCTCTTTTTTTTCTGTGAAATTTGTAAAAGTTTTTTTTTTTTTTTTTTTTTGTCCTGGGGCTTGAACTCAGGGCTTGGGCACTGTCCCTGAGCTTCTTTTGCTCAAGGCTGACACTCTACTACTTGAGCTACAGTGCCACTTTTGGCTTTTTCTGTTTATGTGGTACTGAGGAATCAAATCTAGGGCCTCATGCATGCTAGGCAAGCACTCTACAACTAAGCAACATTCCCAGCTAGTAATAGATTTTTTTTTTTAATGACAACTTCTGTGTGATACAACTGGTAAGGGGTATTTTCTGTTTTTACCAGTAGTATTTTAATGCCTTTTGATGCCTTCCCTTGGTTCTGATGCCTCCAACTTGGTTATGTTTCAAAGGGGACAGAATTCTGATTTGGTCTTCCTGATACTGAGTTACATCTTTGCTCCTCTTTAAGTTAGAGGATGCACACATGTGCGCATGCACATGTGTGTGTATGTGTGTGTGTGTGTGTGTGTGTGTGTGTGTGTGTGTGTGTGTTTTACAGGAACAATTTATCTTTAAAAAAGTAAATACATCTGATTATGACTCAATTTATTCTTGTTTTTCAGCTTGAAACCAATGTGCTCTACTCCTTCTTACATGAAGTAACTTGGATGGCCAGGAAGTTTATTCACATTTCAGCTCTGTTGCAGGTATTTATTCATCACTTGCTTTCTAGAAGTATTTACTGTAACCTTTGTAATTTTATTTTTTAAAACTGAAGGCAGTTGGATTTCTATTCTGCTAATCTTACAATATTTATTAAAGCCAGAAAAAGTAATTTAATTAATCTACTCATCCAATCCTATCACCTCCAAATGAAAGGGAAAAAACAGTCAATCTTTTAAATGTTCCTGTTAATGTTACTTATACTTTATTGCAAATAAAATAGTCTTTTTATGATTTTAGCTTTTGATCATAAGAAAGATACCCCAAATTAGTAGATAATTTTGTAGGTTAGCAGTTTGGACTAAACTCAGCCAGAAAGTTGTGGTGATCTGTACCTGGTATGGCTCACGTCACCCAGCCTGATCATGCAAGCTGATATGTGTCCCTGGCTGAAGTGGCTTTGTCTCTGCCCTGCTTCCCTCATCTTCTAGCCAGCTAGTCCTGGGCTTTTTCTAGGGTAGTGGCAGCAAAGGTTTCAAGAGTACACATTGAGGGCTGGGAATGTGTCTCAGTGGTAGAATGCTTGCCTCACATGCATGAAGCCCTGGGTTCGATTCCTCAGTACCATGTACACAAAAAAGGCTAGAACTAGAGCAGTGGCTTAAGTGGCAGAGTGATAGCCTTGAACAAAAGAAGCTCAGGGACAGTGCCCAGGCCAAGTTCAAGCTCAGGACTGGCAAAAAATTAAATAAATAAGAGTGTAAGTTGAACTGTGGTTGGTGGGACACTTCTATAATCCAGCAATTGGGAGGCTCAGGCAAGAATATTATAATATCAACTTGAGTTATATAGCAAGCTTGGGCTATATAACAAGATCCTGTCTCCCTCTCCCTCCCCTCAAAAAAAAGTACAAGTCAAGATGTATAAACAACTTGAAGGCCCTGGCCTCAGCAGTGTTTTTTCTGCTATGTTTAGTTAGAGCAAGTTATAGGGCAGCCAGGTGCAAGGTGAGGAGAATAAGTCAGGATAGAAGAACTGTAAAGAATTCAGGCCATTTTTTTCATTATTGTTCTACCACAGCCATTAATTTACTTGATGGCAAACATAACTAGGGGTCGAAATCTTTTAAGGGTCCTCTGACAGTTTAATAGTTGAACAAATGAACATTTTGACAGCGTAATAAAACACAGCTTAAATAATAAAATGTAAAAGATGTTTGTTTTACTAGGTACAGAAATGTTCTTTTGAAATGAAGGAAGGGGTAACACTGTGCAAAAAGAAATGTACTCATTACCTTTCTTATGTAACTGTAACCCCTCTGTAATTTACCTTTACAATAAAATTTAAGTATAAAAAAAGTTCCTTTTTAAAGTTCTAAGAATCATTGATTCTTTGGTAAAAATAGTTGTTACCAAATAGTTAGACCCTGGTGGCTTACACCTATAATCCTAGCTACTTAAGAGGCTCAGATCTTAGGATCATGGTTCAAGGCCAGCCCAGGCAGTAAAGTCTATGAGACTTTTAGTTCCATTTAACCACCAGAAAATAGGAGGTAGCACTGTGGTTCAAGGTGGTAAGGAGCTAGCCTTGAGCAAAAGAGCTCAGGGACAGTCCCTAGACCACAAGTTCAAGCCCCACAATTGGAAATAAAAAAAAGAAGTTACCAAAGGTTAGCTATGGTCTTCTCTTTTCCTTTGGCTTAACTAAGTTAATTAGGGTGGTTGAAAGTAAGTTCTGGATTTTTTGTGACCTTAAGAAGCACATATTAGGTAGAATGTGGGTTTAAAATATTTTCTTCTTTTTGCTAATAGTATATAAATTTGTCACTGACATGTATGTGTGAAGCATGGCAAGAAATACTGATACAGATGGATTCTCGTCTCACTAAGTTTGTGCAGGTAATGTAACTGACATTTCCTGTGGAAAGAGTTTTAAAGTCTATTTGCTTCATATGCTATATGAGAAAGGTCAGTTTAATTTATGAAATGTTAAGACCATAATTTCTTCAGACAGCTTGGCCTAACGACTATTTTCACAGAAAATATTTGCAAAAAGGAGTCTATAGTAGGTTTTGTTACTATAACAAAGTACCTGAACTTGGGTAATGTATACAGAAAAGAGGTTTTGTAGACTAGAAGTCCCAGATTGTGTGGCTCTGTTATTTTCTTCCTCTGGGACATGGCATCTTGGCAGAGGGATCACTTTGTGACCCAGGAACCAGAAAGTAGAGAAGGGTGTTCTTGCTCTTTTAGAATAACTCACTCGGCAGGATCTAACCAGGTTCCTATGAGAACTACATTTTCTTCACATAGCAGCACCCCCAGTGACCTAACCACCTCCCAGTATGCCTTACCTCTTAAAGATTCCACTACCTCAGCAGCATCATAATACATGAACCGTTGGGGGACAAACCATATCAGATCCATAGCTGACTCTTCCACCATTGGAACAACTTAATGCAGTGGGTGGGCTTTGGGAATGAGGAAGCTATTGAAACAGCTGACTGGTTGTCTCCAGTCACTGAACCTCAGATATTTCCTGTATATAAGGGCTTGAGAGAAGACAGAGGAAAGAACAGTGAGTAGATGTACTTTATAAGCTGCAAAACATGTATCACATATTTCTTTTTATTTTATCTAGGAAAAGAACACAACCACATCAGTACAGGATGAATTTATGCACTTGCTGTTGTGGGGGAAGGCAAGGTAATAAACTCCTCCTTTTCCTCCCTTCTCCCCCGATTGGTTGTAGGGCTTGAACTCAGGGCCTATATGCTGTCCTTAAGATCTTTTCGCTCTACCACTTTGAGCCACATCCCTGCTTCCAGTTTTTTGAGTGGTTAACTGGAAATAAGACTCTCACAGGGACTTCTCTGTTTGGGCTGTCTTTTTTTCTGTCCTGGAGCCTGAACTCTGGGCCTAGGCTCTGTCCCTGAGCTCTTCAGCTCAAGGCTAGCACTCTACCACTTGAGCCACAGCGACACTTCAGGCCTTTTCTGCTTATGTAATGCTGAGGAATCCAACCCAGGGCCTCATGCATGCAAGGCAAGCACTCTACCACTGAGCCCAGCCCTGTCTGGGCTGTCTTTGAATCACAAACCTTAGATATCAACCTCCTGAGTAGCTAGGATTATAGGCATGAGCCACTGATGCCCTGTTTCACCTCTCTCTCCCCTTTTTAAATCAATTTATTTTAAAAGTAAATAAAAATGAATAATTCATTTGTCCAAATGAAATAGAAAATTCTGGTATAAAAAGAGTATTAGGAGTATAGATCTCCAGGTTTTTGGATACACCCTTTTGGGTTAATGTGATCATTTTGTACAGAAATTTTAGTTTTTATGTTGCCAAACTAAACTTTTTCTTTTTGGTATCTTAGAGCTTTCCCCATCTTAAGAGCATGAAAAGGTTAATCTGTATTTACTTCTGGAATTATTTTTTATGGTTTTCATTTATTCCCTCCCGTGTTTCAGATGTGATTTCCATGGTGCTTTGTGGAAACCTCTGCCATCTTTTTCCTAAATGCTTAGATTGCTACAATATGGCTTAGTGAGCATTGCCCTTTGCCTTACTAAGCTAAGTCCTTTTTAATATGCAGTGTATCCTCATGTGTACTTAAGTGTGTTAGGGTTATGTTTTTGTTTATTTTTGTATACAAAAGAAAGTTGTATTTTTTTAAGAAAGTTGTATTTTTGTTGGGAGTAGTTTTACTTTGTTCCAAAATCTTGTTTTTTCTTTAAAATCTATGATTTTAAGCAATGTGTACAGATTTTAGATGGAGAAATGACTAAACCATCCTTTTTCATTGTAGTGTTGAACTTCAGCCCCTTTTGGTGAACCAGCTAACTGTAAAGGTGCTGTTAAAGTCATCATATTCCAGTATTCAGAAGTTGGTTATAAGTCATTTGCAGAGGTATAAAGATGATGGGCATTGCTTTGGTCTTTCTGAAAATTTACCTTTATTGTCTGGCATTTTCTTCTGGAATCTTTCCTAGCAGAATTTTTTTTTTTTTTTTGTCAGTCATGGGCCTTGAACTTTGGGCCTGGGCGCTGTCCCTCAGCTCTTCAGCTCAAGGCGAGCGCTCTACCACTTGAGCTACAGTGCCACTACCCTGAAAATTTTTTAATAATAATTTTTAGTGAGATTAAGTGATTATATAAATGTCACAAATTTCATAGTACTGTAGGATAGTGATATTTTGTTAAAATCACAAACACATTTTAACCTTTGCAAGGCAAATTGTGATTATCTTGGTCTATAAAGTTTGTGAATTCTATGAGCTTTGACAATATTTCTTCTGCTTTGGGTGATAAATATATTTCTTTCCTTTTGCTTAGTGTTAGCTGTTCCCTCTTTCCCTCTCATTCCCTCCCTCCCTTGAGTTCTTTAGTTCATTTTCATCAATGTCCAGTGTAGCTGATGGGTTCCTCTGTTGTATTTTTTCACCTGTTTCCCTCTGATTCCATGCCCTCCTCCTAGCTTCCCTTAGATGTGTGCACATATATACCCTATATGAGGTCAAGAACATGGAGTCATTTAGAAATTATATGGCAGATTAAGTAGATGTCCTTTGTTTCTTGAGTCCTGTTTACTTTGTCGTATTTCCTTGCGTTTTGGATTTTAACATCCTCATATCAGGAAGAACATGTGCTATTTATCTCTCTGCTCTTGTCTTACATCACTCACACTGATTCATTTTAGTTCCATCCATTTCTCTGCATCTGGGTTGTTTCTATATCTTGGCTATTTATTGTGAATAGTGCCTAGCTGAAATTTTTGCATTGGCATTTGAAGGGGAATCTTGGCACACTCAAGTGTAAAGATTATTTCTGCTTCATGAAATAATTTTTCACTATCTTTTCACCAAGCAAGTCTCCCATCTGGATCCCCCCACTAAACTATAAGGTATATTTTGAAATAGATCGTATATTCCTTTTTTTGTTCCACAGGGAAAATTGAGTATGTTGTATATTTTATCTTGTAAAACATATTGTGTATTTTCAATTCAACACCCTAGAATTTTGTTCTGAGTCTCATTTTACCAGGATGAAACTGAATTAGTTATATGGATGGCCCAAAGATAGTACATGGCAGAGCCACGATTCCTTTTAGTGTTCCAGGTCTCGTGTTGTTCCTTTCCATAGCTGCTTGAGTGACAGTTTTACAAGCGGATGCTGAATGTTCAGTTTAAATTTGTATACAGCCCATTATGTAATGCCTTCTGCACTGGTCGTTCTATACTTTGTTCCACAAATGTCTGGTCTTTTTACTCTTCTTTTTCCTTTTCTTGCAATGCTCTGGGTCAAAACCAGGGTCTTGTATATGCTGGGCAAGCATTCTACTAGTGAGCTATATCCCCATCCCTGTAGAATGTGTATTCCTTAGTAAATCCAATAGAATACCTCTCACAGATGCTCCTGGTCCCTTCTTTTGGATCAGTCCCCATATTTTTTCACCAGTCCCCATATTAACTCATATTACACTTATACCCTCATCCTATGCATTCCCCTCAAGGCATTTATGGCCATTGGGAAGATTACACTGTATGATCATGTGGTTGAGACCTGTCTCCCCTGTTATGCTGTAATTTCTGTGGTCACAAGGACCTGATTCTTGTCAGCTTTCTGTCCCTCGCATCTAGCACAATGTCTGACACAAAGTTGGATCTCAAAAACTATTTGTTTAGTATTGGGTAGATATGGGTGAACAAGATTGCCTACTGGCTGTCTTTAAAGTGCCAAGATTGGGGCTAAGGGGTAGCTTAGTGGTTGAGCACTTGCTAGCTTATGCAAGGCCCTAGCTTCATCCCTAGCATGGCCCCTCCCCCCAGATAGTGCCAGGACTGTGAAACACAATTTGTTCATATAAAATTTAATCGTATTGTCATGTATATTCATTTCAGTAGATGATAGCCAGATGATTGTGCTTATGTTTACAGAACTAGAGATACAATTTTTTTAATGGCAAGAAAATTAAATAGTTACCTTAAATTTTTATTTCTGAAAAATTGGAACTGTCTACCACTGCCTACCACCCTGACTAAGTAATGATACTATGTCTCCTGTGACTAAGTAATGATACTATGTCTCCTGTGACTAAGTAATGATACTATGTCTCCTGTGACTAAGTAATGATACTATGTCTCCTGTTGTGCTAGTGGCTCAGAGTCTTTATTGTATCATTTGAGTGAACTGAAAGGAATGGCTTCATGGAAGCAAAAATACAAACCCCTTGGACTGGATGCTATGGGAATTGAAGGCAGTGATTTAATATCTCGACAGAATATATTAGATATAGTTTACTTATTTAACAAGGACTATTTCTTTATATTTTTTATTTCCTTTTAGATGCTATTGATTGTGAATATTTACATTTGAAATTAATAAGAACCTTACACACATACCTGTAATCCCAGTGCTTGGTATGCTAAGGCAAAAGGATTGTAAGTTTATTTAATCATACAAAGAGTTTCAAGTCTACGAAATTTAACTTTGATTCAGTTTTTAATCTATTTATATTTGGCTAGTATGTCCAGTACAGTAAGATACAGTTTAGGAATACATTTTACTTTCTCTTTCTGTTGAGCTGTTTTTCTTTTCTTTCTTTCTTTTTTTTTTTGGTGCCAGTCTCAGAACTTAAACTCAAGGCCTGAGTGCTGTCCCTGAGCTTTTTTCTCAAGGCTAGCATTCTACCATTTGCTCCATTTCTGGCTTTTGGTGATTAGTTGGAGTTTATGAATCTCCTGGATTTTCCTGTCTGGGCTGTCTTTGAACTGCAGGCCTCAGATCTCAGCCACCTGAGTATCTAGGATGAGGCGTGAACCGCCAGCACCAAGCTTCTCAGACTCTCTTGTCATTCCTGGCTGTTGGCTCTTTGAGCTGTCTGCACTTGGCTTCTCCTGGGGAACTTTGTCACTCACCAGTATTCAGTACTTCTGAAACTAGTTTTAAGTTGTTCTTTACTCTTTATTTTTCTAAGTTTATAATACATATGCTTCCTCCTGTTCACTGTCATTATAATTGGGCTCTAGAAAGTGAAAGCTCCAGCACTTGCTCAGAAGACAAAGTGAGAGGAGAAATGACATTGCTTTTCCTGTGTTTTGGAATATTTTTGGAATTTACATTTGCTGAGAGCAAATATGATATACTAAGTTTTCTAGGATTACCTCTCACGATGACTAGAAAGTATTTAACTTCTTGATCCTCTTAAGTAGAAAAAATGTCACTACGAAGGGTTACAGATGGAGGAACAGAGCAGTGGGGGAGGGCTTTAGTGTGGTCTGGTTGTGTTAGGTAGGGGTGAAGGTATTAGCTAGGTGGAACACAGAGAAACTTTGTTTTTCACTGGTGCTGCAAGAGAATGTTAGTTACCTTACTTGATAACATAGGAGTGCTGCAATCTTTGATTTCCTAGTAGGGTGATTGATACTGATCTACCTCTCAGTGATATTATGAAACATAAAAAAAAAATACTTGTACTGCTGGGAACGTAGCTCACTGGCACACTGTTGTCTAGTATGCACAGGCTCCCGGTTCAGGTCTTAGGACCTCAAGGAAAATCAGTACAGGTATTATTTGCTTACTGTAATTATCACATAGAAGTAAACTTAAAGAGTTTATAAAAATTGAACTCATCTCTGTATTCAGAAAGTTCACCAAAATGAAGATGAGTTTGATTTATAATACTTAACGTTTTTTCATTTGTGTCAAATCCAAGAGAATTCAATTTTTGAGACCTCATTTATTTGTTGGACTAAAAAATCAGTTTCATAAAATGATGTCCAGTGGTATCAGACATTGTGACATAACATAAGTTTATAGTAGTAACTTCCTTTTGGAGTCAGTTTTTTTTTTTATTGATTAGTAATTTTTTAACAAAAAATAATGTGGGAAAATTTTTTCCTCACTTACTTGCAGAGTTAGGAAAAGAATTCATATGTCACAGAATGCTGGGAAAGATTCAGTTTTTTGGAAACACAGTTACAACCAGATAGTATCATTTATTTGCTTAATTTTTTTTTTTTTTAATTTTATTTTATTTTATTTGAGAACATACTGTACAGAGGGGTTACAATTACATGGGCAGGATAATGCATACATTTCTTACCAAGCATTGCAGCCTCCTCCTTTGTTTACCTTTCACCTCCCTTCCCAGCCTCCCCCCTCCCCCCCACCCAATCATACCCCCCCTCCCCCCCCCTCCGACATTGTAAAGCTGGTTTTGACATGACATTTTATACTTCTCATTGTTGCAACAGGTCCACCTGAATCCTTAAACGACTTGTTTGTCCCCATCTCCTCCACATGTTATACTGACATCAAATATAGTGAAAGCGGGGGTTACACTGTGGGGGAGGGACATACAATTATTTGCTTAATTTTTTGAAAGAATCGAGATGTGTTTTGTTTTTGATTGCCTTAATTTTAGGAATGTAATAATGTTTGGCTTGTAAAATCTGCTCTTCTAAGGGCTTAAATCCTGACAAGACAAAGAAGAACAGTAAGGTTTATTTTACTCTGTGACAGTTGAACAGTACTACATGAACTTTTTTTTTTCTGATTTGTTTATCTTTTTAGAATTATAGACATTAGTATAAAGAATTTCAAGGCATTTTTCTGGTGGCTTTATGTGGGTAAGTTAACTTTAACATTGTTGTTTTAACACTTTTGAAAACTGTGGAAATACATCTTAGATTTGAATTAGTCTGTTAAAATTTCAAATACTTATAAAATAGTATAATGAGCCTCCTTGTTTCCTTCTTTCACCCAGCTTCAACTGTTGTCCATCTATGGCAGTCCTATTTCACCTACTCCATGCTTCCCCCATAGAAGTATTAAAGCTAATTTGTAACACCTGTGCCCCTTACACTCACTAGTACAGTGATCCCTTACCTATCTTGGGAGTTAAGTTCCAGACACCCCCGTGATAGGTGAAAATCCCATGCTCTATTGTGGTTCACTTATTGCTCTGGAAAGTAACTATATGATAGGTGAGGGATCACTATTTCTGGTTTGTTTTGTTTTGTTTTTTAAACCTGGGATGCAATGAAGCTACAATACAGCGAGGGACAACTGTATTTCCTTAGGTTAAAATTGAGTGTTTGAGCCCTTGCTATATATTGGGCACGGGTATAAGATTTTCAAAAAGCCCTTCAGTAGCTTGTGTTACATTTTACACTCTGTTCTTCAGTCTCTGGAGCTGTGTGGTCCATGGTGGTAACCACTAACTAGCCTGTGGCTGTTGAATTGATTGAAATCATCTAAAATTACACATTTAGTTATGTAGTCAGGCTAGCCTCTTTGAAGTTCCTAGGAGTCACAGATAATCAGTGACAGCACAGAACTGGGACCATGCTATTACATTTTCATGGGCAGTGGTGCCCTTGCTAAGTGGTACACAGACTACTTTAGGACTTTCTTTGTAATGCCACTACGTCTTTGCCATTGGGTAGGCAGTTTAATTAACAAATACCTGTTGACTTCACATGAGATGGTTTGATCACCACTCTGAGGTACTTGCATTTTTTTAGGCCCATTTATACTGCTATTTTTGTGAAGTATATTCTTTAAATAATGAAACAAACATTTCTCTCCAACATATGCAACATTTAGTTTTATGTCTCATATTTGTTAAAATTTAGAGTGAAATACAAGATAAATTCCTTTTGATATGCTAATACTGCAAAGTGTCCAGATGTTCAGTTCTAATATTACAAAAGCAGACTTTATGCTTATCACTCTACTATAGTTACTTTTGTTTAAAACCTGAATGTGATCTTAAGTTACTTGAATTCTTGGTTGGATATTTTTGTTTGTTTCCTTTTTTTCAACTGTATGATTGATAGTTGGAATAGGGAACTGGAGTTTTTTCAGGCTAGCTTGTTGCAGATCTGAGTTTTAATTAGAATAAATTGCAATATTAAAAGTAGGACTTTAGAAATCCTTTCTCTGATGGGATTAGTGGTTTAGTTTTACTTATAATTATTGCGTGCTCTAACTAAGCATCAGCAGTAGAAGAGCAGTGAGTAACTGCTCAGTTCTTATCTCCAGAATGTGACACTGTTGTCACCCTGGCTTTGTCACTGACACGAGGTTATAACTTTGTTGTATTTTTTTGGTAAAATGTAATTTCCATGAAGGCATTTTTACTGCTCTGCCCCCAGCAGCATAATCAATAAGGTTTTGTTTGGGGTGAGGACCAACAATCCTGAATATATTTCAGATCCTGATTAAGTCAGATTTTAGTTCATCTTTAGTTTAATTGTTCAAAGAGAAAGTTTTTTGTAGTAAAAAGAAACTGTTCAAATGGAAAATTTAGTTCAGTAAACCTCATTTGGTATTTGAAGTATATCTGTAATAAAAATTACATTTCAAGATAATTTTTTTAAATTTTATTTTATTTTATTTGAGAACATACTGTACAGAGGGGTTACAATTACATGGGCAGGATAATGCACACATTTCTTACCAAGCATTGCAGCCTCCTCCTTTTTTTACCCTTCACCTCCCTTCCCACCCTCCCCCCTCCCCCCCACCCAATCAAACCCCCCCTCTCCCCCCAGTCGTTTAAGATAATTTTTAACTTTGTATTTCCAGCCATGTTGAGAATGACCGAAGACCATGTGCTTCCTGAGCTGAATAAGGTATGCACAGAAGTACGTATGGCCAGCCCTGTGTGTCAGCAGGTTCCATCTCAGTAGATTCAACCAACCACCAATGAAAAATATTCTGAAAATAATGCATCTGTTCCAAATATATGTACTTGTTTTTCTCTTTACTATTCCTTACACAATACAACAATAGTTATTTACATTGTATTAGGTGTTACAAGCACTCTAAATGGGATTTAAAGTGTACAGGAGGATGTGTTTTCTTATATAAAGATCTTGAGCACCTGTGGATTGTGTTATCTGTGGGGGTCTTAGAACCAATCTCTCAGATAACAGGGGACACCTGTGTAATTTCCTTACCTATTGTCCTGATTGAGCTCAGCCTTGCTCATGGTTTTGGTACTCTTACAGAGTTAGATAACAGGACGTTGGGCTTGTTATCTAAAGAAATTTGAGTGTTTGCATAATATTTTCATCTCGAGGAATACTGTTATGGATATTTGAATTTACAATTTTCATGTTTGAATGAGGTTTTATAATTCTTACAACATAGCATCCTTATACTCTTTAACTGCCTTAAGTCTTTTTATTATTGTGAAAATATT